AGTTCACTGTCCTGCAGGAGTGGTAGCAGGACAAGCTCCATGGCAGCGTTCCCTCAGGGGTGCCTGGGGTGGACCCCAGCCCCTTCACCTCCTGTGGGGCAGTAACTGTGAGCACCGCTGCCGCTCCTGCCTCCCCTGTGCCGGGTGGCATGCCTGAAGCCCTTCCATCCTCACCGAGGGCAGACCTCAGCAGCCCCCTGCAGGGTTGAGGAAAAGCAAATCGGAAAAAATTCATGCAACACGGACAGATTCCACCGAGAAGCCAGGGCGTCCTGAGCCGGGCAGATGCACCTTGTGCCACGCCGTCTGGAATTTTCACAGCAGGATCCTTCTCCCCTCCTGGAGGGTCTGCACCTCTGGTCTTTGGGTTCCCAGCTCCTTGCACTCAGGTGGACTAAGTATGCCCAAACGTAACTGGCACTCGCCAGGTTGATAACCAGCTATTCAGTGTGTATTTGTTCAATGCCAGCCTCTGTCACTGGCCTGTAAACCCACAAGGCCAGATGGTGGCCCTGCTTTCTGCACCTGGCACCTTCAGCTCCCACCTACGAGGCCCTCGGTAAGGAAGCTGGATGGACAGACTCGTGGCTCCAAGGACACACAGATTACAGAGCCAGGGCACCATCGAGGTCTGCTGTCTGGCTCCATCACAGCCTTTACACTGCTGTAGACATCTGAGGTCGTAGAAGAACAGGAAGCTACACCAGGGACCAGGCAGAGACTCCAAGAGGAGCCAGGCAGCTAGGGAAGGAAGAAGGATGGAGGCAGAGGGGCTCTGCCCAAAGCTCATCAGCAACACCCCTGGGCAGCCAACGGGAATGAGGTGTGAGGCTCACCATGCACAGCTACTGATCAAGACTGAGGAGCCTGCGTGCAGCGCTCACGGCCTGGGCTATGCACCCCTGCTCTGTGGTCGGGAAGTACGGTGTGTGTGTGTGTGTGTGTGCGCGCGCGCGCATGTGTTCAAGGTCGTACTCAAATCCACCAGGAGAGACAAAGGCACTAAGTGATGAGCACCCTCTCATCATCCCTTGCATGGAGATCACAGGTGCCTGCCCCTCCCCCTGCACAAAAAGCTGTTGCCATGGGAACCACACAGGATGCCAACTTGACAACAAGTGACATCCAAACCGAGGGGGACACTCACCTGCCCCCCAGCCCCCACACCCCTCTACTGCTGGGAGACAAGACACACAAGACAGCTCCTGCCTGTTCGTATTTACCAAATGAGGATGACAAAGATGTAACTTTCCTTAAAATTTCCTATGAGAGGAGGAGAAAAAAACCTGGAGAGGAAAGGGTGTCATTGCCGGAAGACCCCTCTGCTCCACACAGCTGTCCCTGCACTGGGCGGGGCAGCAAAGGGGCAGCTCCCTCAAAAGGAGGCCGCCCCTAATCAATAAGGGACAGGGGAAGAGCTACTGAAGACAAGTCATCCAGAGATTTTTCTCCTGTTACCCAGGCCAACGTGCAGGCGGAGAGGTCCTGGGAACCCATGCGATCTGCAGCGGGGAGCTCAGAATGATTTTTCCATGTGTGAAAAAGAATTAAAAGAACATTTTGTGACACCTGAAAATTAAAGGAAATTCACATTTCTGTGTCCGCCAGTAAGTGCAGGTTGAACAACCAAGGGCCTTCCTTTTCTGCATCGGCCAAGGCCAGCAGGGTCACGCACCTTGAGCACCAGGCACGATGCCTACAGCCCGACTTACATTTAGGGATTCACAAGGACGTGTGAATGTTAACGTATTTTGAAATCAGAAGAGCAACATAAATATCATAGTAATGAATCCGACCCAGCTTGGGCTGTCTTCAAAACACATCATCTGTAACGCTACCTTTTCTTTCTTATTTTATTTTATGATACTGGGGATTGAATCCAGAACCTCCTCACTTAGCTCTTACCCCCAGCCTTTCTTTATTTTTATTTTGAGACAGGCTCTTGCTAAGTTGTCCAGACTGATCTTGAACTTACGAAGCTCCCATCTCAGCCGCTCAGTGCTGGGATTGCAGATCGGCGCCTCCCCGCCCAGCTTGTAATACTTTCTTGTGAAAAAGCAAAGCATGCAAAAGTGCCCAGGGCCCCTGAAATCATGACTGGGCTCTGCCGGGCTGGAACGTTGAGCCCGGCCCTTCAGAAAAGGGAAGATAACAGACCAAGTCCTCACTTGGCTGGGACATGGGAAAGGGGAACGCGGGCCCTTTACGATCCCCTGGCTAACCTAGACGCTCCCCTCTCTTCTTTGCCCTCTGGGGCTCGTCCCTGCCCCTCTGGCCAGTGACCCTGGCCAGGTGACTCGATCTTAGAGCATTCCAGAAAATGCAGGCGCAAGGCTGGGGTCAGACAATGAGCTCAGCCCAGGCGTGGGACTTGGCGCTTACGAAGCAGGCCATTCGCAGTGGCCAAGGAGCGTGACAAGCCCATGGTAGGTGGGGAAGACAGTGCCAGACCTCACATCCCGCTGCAAACCCTGTCTTGCAAAGGGATCGGGCTGGGGAAGGCTTTCCACGTGGAAGGAGAGGCCCAGGAAGTCCCACCACTGTGCCACAGGTTCACGGGAACCTCGCCGGCACCCCGGATCTCCCTCCCTACGGTGCTGCTGCTGCCAGGACAGGGGCCAGTCTGGTGGTCTGGAAGTGGCTGCCTGGTAATCTCTACATAACCTTTGTGAGGCGCCTGCATATTTCACCCTTCCAGGCGAGCACTCCCATTTTTTTGTCATTCCAATTTCATTTCCTGGGCTGTGTGGACTGCGGGCTCAGCAGTCGCTCCGGTCTGAAGTGACTCCTGGGACCTCCTCACTGTTCTATATGCAAATGGCCTTGCACCTGGGCAGCCGAGCGGGCTTGCCGACAGTTTAGTTATGCAAATCTGATTGATCGAGAGCATATTGCAGGAAGGCGCGCAGGCCCGGGACACTGGCAGCTATATTTCACTGGCTAAATTCCTGAAGAAGGGGGGAAAAATTAAATGCCAGGCATTTGATGCATATTTCCTTTCAACCCCTGTAGTGCAGTGGTGGTGTATTTCTGAATGTGTTCAGCACTCGGGTTAGACGCTGCTAATGCAATTTTTGCGTGCAGGGTGTGTTATTGCTGAATTAACAGAAGGCTTGTTTTCCGTGTAAAAAGCCAGTTGCTGTGATGTCACAGCACAATAGGTCTGTCAGTTGATTTGAAATAATTCCCCAGGCAAATGCAGTAAAGGCAGTGTTAAAAAATAATTAGGTCCTTCGGCCTCAAAATGCTCCGCGCAAGTGGAGGGAGTAGCGGAAGTTACTCGGAGTTCTTTCTCTTGCACAACAAAAGGTAAAGTGAACCGCAGGGGCGCCGATGACACATTGTCAGCCTGTGTGCAAAGCGGTTGTCTGTTTCTCAAACACAGGGTTTCAAGAGAGGAGATGGAGCGGTCCAGGCAGCCACTGCCTTGGAGAAAATAAATTTTTTAAAAAAGAAGCTCAAATCTACTTGAATCTGCTTAAAATAATAAATTCTGCACCAGACATATGGTACTCATGCATGCGGAGGTCCAGCAATCCAGAGGCTCAGGAAGCTTGGCTACGGTGCCTCCTCCTTTATTGATTTATAATCGCTGATAAATAAGATACATCTACATGGTAGGCAGTGGCTACTGTTGGAAAAAAAGAAAGATATTTTGGCCTATGTCTTTCTCTGCCACCCCACCACCATGGATCAAAATTAAAAATAAATCAATGTTTTGCAACCGAGGGAAAGGTGACACAAGGAGTTTCAACCATCAGACACGAGGCTACAAAACAGCAGGGCTTGAAACCAGAAAAGAAGAGGCAGTGGGGTGTGCCACTCGATTCAGGCGTTACTCTGATAGCTGAGTGACAATAAAGTCAAAGTCATCAAACACAAGCAGGCATTCACTCTCACTGATGTCATTAATGACATTAACCGGGATGTCATTACATGCATGTGGACAGTCCTGCAAGCTGTCCAGGTGTATTTGTGTAGGCACACTCCGCACACAGATGTTCCCCCTCCAAATGCCTGGCTGGTTGCAGAGAAGAGGGAAGGCGTGAGGCTGAACAGATCATCTTCAGCCAGACTTCTCCCAGAGTACCATAGCACAAATCCTTTGTTTACCCCAATTTCTGCTTTCTCGCTGCCTGCCCCGTGCTCACATACACACATGTGTATGTGCATAGATTTCCATGCACGTGTGCAGGCAGGCAAAGAATACACACATTCGTGTCCGCATGCGCAATCACAACTGTGTGTGCAAATGCATCTACACACACATACACACGCATGTGCACAGAAACACACATGCACACACACGCACATATCTTTTAAAAAAAAAAAGAAAGCCATCTGACAAGCAAAGCCCAGCCAGAGGGTCAGAAATGAAGATCCCCGGCAAAGGTCAAGTTTAATCTGTCCCCAGGATGGCCCAGCACACCCCTCCCACCGCTGACTAACAAAAGGGCCTCGGCACTTTGACTGACAGAATTCTTAATTGTATCCACTCATTCATGACAATTTGATTAAAATATTACGCCAAAGTCTCACCCCCTGTTTGCTTCGATCCTCCAAATCTAATTTTGAATTTTCAGAAAGGAGATTACCTCCACAAGCATGACTGGGATGCTATTAACTTCTACTTAATCTTTATTACTGATGTGAATTTAACATATGTACCGCTTCGCTCTGCTCCTGTTGTTTGCCTCGTGAAAGTAACGTCTAGGCAATATACAAGCGTGGGCATTAATTTCCACTTTGATATTCTGTCGGAGTCCAGCTCGTGCGTGTCCGTGGAGAAGGACAGGCAGCCCCATCCCTGGTCGGAACACAGTCCCCCCCGCCTTCCCCCACCGCACTCCCAGGAGCCGCCTTCCGAACTCAAGGTTGTACGGATTCGGATTGGGAGCGAGGTCCCCTCCGTGGGACTGTCACTGTCCACGCGGCCCTGTGCAGAGCCCACTGTGAACCAGAGCAAATCCACACAAGAATCAAAAGGTGGCCGTTGGGGCTTCATGTTTTAAAGGGTCTCTCTTTCCTTCGTGACTGGAGGCTTACCTTCGTGCTTGCTTTCCCTTTCTCCTCACACAGGGGCGTGTGGGGTTGTATCGTCCTGGGTTGGGACTCCAGAATCCTAGTTCCCCAAGTATTGGTGGCAACAGTTTAAGGCTGGCAGGGGAACAGGACACAAAGTCACAGGGCTGAAGGAGTGTCCTGCTAGTGTGCTTCCTGCCCGCTGCCTGTAAAGGACTTGATTTTGTCCCCGCCCCTAGTTCATATGTTGAACCCCAGTAACTCAGAATGTGACCTTTTTCAGAGATGGACTCTACTGGGTGGTTAGGATGAGGGTTGTTGTGGTGGATCTTAATCCAATGGGACTGGTGTCCTCACAAAAGGGGAAATTTGGACACACACGCACGCGCGTGCACACACACACGCACAAGCACACAGAGTAGGCAGCAGGCAGAATGGCGCTCCCTGCCAGGAGCCAGGAGCTACAGGAAGCTGGGAGCTGAACCCTGCCCAGTGTCCTCAGAGGGAGTCCACCCTGCGAGGCCACAAATTTTCATCCTGGAAGCCACTCCATGTGTGCTACTTTTGAAACTTCCCCCCCCCCCCCGTAGTACTGGGGATTGAACCCAGGGCCATTGCACTGAGCTACATCACTGGCCCATTATTAATTGTTTTTATTTTGAGACAGGGTCTCCTAAGTTGCCAAGTTGCCCAGGCTGGATTTAAACTTTCGATCTTCCTGCCTCAGCCTCCCAGAGTGCTAGGATGACAGGTGTGCTCCACCACATCCAGCTGAAATCTTTTTAAAACAAATGTGCATGCTCTGATTCCCTTGCGTTATGAACCCATCCAAGTGAGTACTGCACCCCAATCAAATCAGGAGGCCTCGGCCGGGGAACTGGGTATTCAGGGAGGGGGTCTCAAGTCACACTTCAGACCTGCCTCTGCCAGGTGGAGACACAGGAAGCCATTCACCTTCCTACTGCTCTGTTCTGTCCTGGACACGGTGTGCACACCTTGTGCCTTTCACACTGGCTGCTGCCAGGCCAGCAGATGCCACCAAGAATTCCAGTCCTTCACCATTAATGTTCTGCCATGGGCTCCACTGGACTGCATGGAGCATCTGTTGGACACCAGGGGCTGCAGGCACAGGGGCGTGGGGAGGGTTGGGGACAGCCCAGACGTCCCTTTCACCCATAAAGAGCTCACAGCTTGGGGACCAAACAGGACCCTGAATGGCTCAGCACACAGAAGGGTCACAGGGCTCAGTGGGCATCTGTACCAGGAGTGGACAGACCCTGGGGTGAGGGTCAGAGGGAGAGAGCTATGTCCAGCCAGGGCCAGAGGGCAGAGAGGAGGGCAGGAGGGAGAGGAGGGGCAGCATCACTGCCCCATAGAGATGCGAGGGGCTGAGAGGTGGGACCAGGAGCCTGGGGTCTTGCGTGGCTTGGTCACTGCCAGGTCGTCAGTGCCTAGAACAGACCTGGCATCTAGTTGGGATTCACAGTATCTGCTAGGTCGGTGAATGAAAGAACAAATGAATGAGCTCAGAGCTGGAGCCACAGCCAGGGATCAAATCCCCTACCCTGGATGCTTTGGAAAAGACCTCCCACTCTGTCCCCAGGCACGGGGAGCTTTGGGAAGGGGTTGGTCTCAGTTTGAGTCTCGGTAGAAAACCCATAGACACTTAAATTGAGCAACATCACCAAGAGACTTTAGAAGAGTGTGGGCAGGATGCAGAGACGCCATAAGGGGCAATGCGGAGTCCAGGGCTGGGACAAGTTCCGGGAGGACAGGGAGGCAGAGAGCACGGCTAGAGAGGACACCTTTCCCGAGCTGAGGCTTCGAAGGGGCTGGCAAGCCCTCCGCACCCCAGAGGAACACAGACACAGCCCCTCGCCTCCCTCCCTCCTTTTCCCCCAGGGCTTCCGCTGACCAAGCTCAACCAGAGCCAGGGGGGAAGGGGAGGAAGCCCCTTGAGGAAGTTTGTGGCAAGGTTCATGCGGCACAGTTCCTGGGCAGGGAGCCGGGAGAAGGGTGGACAGAGGGTCCAAAGGGGCAAAGGGGACACATCGAGAACTTGGGAGTGAGGGGGTCCCTTCGTCCAGCTGGAAAAATGACGTTGGCACTTGGCCAACAGACCACTCTGCTGCAGGACCTGGAGTTGAGGAGGAGGAGACGGGCCACACATACAGAAGCCTGAGATCTGACCGGAATGGTAGGAAAGAGACAAAATCCACCTCAACTTGGAAAAGCGAATAGTTTTTGGCTAGTGCAGCCTCGGTCTCTGGCACACACAGAAATACCGGCCACATATTTGTCGATTAAAAAATATTTGCCCATTCTTAGGAATACACTGGGATTTAATCTGTAGTATTCTCTAACCACACTACAGATCTTATAAAATAACGGGGGCCCAGCTACTCCCAATCCTTGAGTGTGCTATGGAACACTCATTCTCATTCTCCCTCCTTCTCAGTGGGTGTGTGGCTCTCACAATAAAAACTACATTTCCCAGCATCCCTTGCAGCCTGGCACAGTCATATGACCAAGGAGCAGAAGCACCCTGTGTGGCCTACAGTTTCTGCCTTTAGAAAGAGAGTTTGTCTCCCTTTCCTACTGACCACCATAAGGACATGGAATTGGGCCACAAGAGAGGAGAGCAATGGGCATACGTAGCCACATGCCAGTCCTGAACTGATTTTGTCCAGCCTGGGAAAGAGAAATAAATCTTCTGTCTAAGGAGGCATAGGAGGTCTCTACTCACATGAAATGATCTGGCCCACTGATACACCATGGTTCACCCCTCTAGGCCTGGCAGATGTGTGGCGGTCCCCTCTTATCTGAGACCCCCATTGTATCCCTGAAATTACCAATAGTACTGGATCCCATGTATCATGTCTTTTCCTATATATACATACCTGTGGTAGTGAAATCTATAAATTAGGCATAATAAGAAATTAACAGCAATAATTAATAATAGAACAATTAAGTAATATACTGTAATAGAAGTTATTTAAAACTTATGCATTATTTATTTCTGGAATTTTCCATTTTCAAGCCAGGCACAGTGGTGCATGCCTGTAATTCTAACACTCCGGAAGGCTGAAGCAGGAGAATAACAGGTTTGAGCCCAGTCTGGGCAATTTAGTGACTTAGCAAGACCCTGTCTCAAAATGAAAATAAAATAAAAAAGAGCTGGGGCTGTCGCTCACTGTGGAGGCCTTGGATTTGATCCCCAGTACTATATTTTCAGGCCATGCTGATGGTGGTAACTGAAAGCACAGAAAAGGGGAGACCCCGGCCCCATTTGGTGAACATGTGTGTATCAGACAGCATCAACGAAGTTCTGTGCAGTAACAAACAGCCCCAAATCTCAGTGACTCGTAACCACAGAGTCGCTCCAGGGTCTCAGCTGAAGCCACAGCATCATCGGGGACAGGTGGGGACAGAGGAAAGAGCCCCAGGTACTCCCATGTCACCCTCTCTGGCCACTGCAGGCCACAAGGCCACATGTGACATCAACAGGAAGTGTGATCCTGTCCCAAGAGCCAGAGCACACTCCCCCACAGCCTCTGTTTGTCCCTGTCACTCGCACCGTTGTGCAAGCCCCTGAGTGTGTGGCACTGTTAGCAGCCCCTGGCCCCCAGGACACCACTGGTGCTCAGGTGTGTAGGAATAGCGCGCATCTTCGATAAAGTGTGCAAGAGTTTGTCCCAGGCTCAAGCATCGCCTGGACACCACGGCGGACTCCTCAGCCGGAAGGCAGGGTGTCGGGCGTCTCTGCTGTCCCAAATGCTACAAGAGCCCAGGACACAGCAGAGGCCCTGGAGATCCTTGCAGGATAAAGGGGCAGATGCATGGTAGGGGGTTTCATACACTCACTCATCAAACACCCACAGAGCTGCCATCAGAGAGTGTGCCCTTGCCCGACTCTGGGTGTCTGGGTCTCATAGTTTCCTCCCACAGTTGGGCCCAGGAGAGGCAGGGAAACTTCTGGAAGAAGCGGCCCCACCCAGTGTGAGCAGTCAACTCACCCGCTGCCGCCAAGGCGGCCAGAGGAAAGCGCACTTCCGTGTGGTCTTCCAAGTCTTCCTTGTTTTGTGTCCTGGGCTCTGTGGGGGACACAGCTGACAATCACCTTTTTTAGAGACTGAAAAAGCAACTATTTACCTCAAAATGAAAAGACTGCAAGCACCGTCTTTGTTTCCTGCCCCATACCCTGTTCCCACTTTGCAAACATTTGGTTCGAGGTCCTGTTTTCAACGGGGCTGAAACTAAGAGAGTTTGCATAGCTCCTGGGCCAGCTCACGAATGGGCTGATATCAGACCCCAGCCTGGATGACCCAGGATCACCTCCCCATCTCAGGACCCCCCACTGATTCCCACCTGCGCTGCCACTCTTGCTGTAGCAGGTAATATGCACACGTCCCAAGGATTCAGGGGAGATATCTGGGAGATGTTACGCAGCCATCCACACAAGTCACTGAGGGTGTTGGATTCTGAGTGTGCTCCTGCCTCAGGACCTTTGCATGTCCTGTCCCTCCTGTCAATAAAGCTCTTTCTTCCTTCAGATACTGGCTTGCTTTGCTTCTCAGGTTCCCACTCCAATGCTTCTCCTCCAAGGTGCCTTCCAGAACACCTGTCTGAAATCGCACTCCTTTCTTTGAGTGCTCTTCATCTCCTCACCTTTGCTCATAGCACCCGCCAAGCACTGCCATCAAGTGACCTATCTGTCTTCCTCCCTTTACCGCACCAGGACAGAAGCCAAGGGCAGGGATAGGGCTGATTTGGTGGTGGCTGCAGCCCCAACAATCAGCAACGAAGGCAGGTTGTAAAACTCTGGCAGATGTGTGCTGAAAGACCAGGACAGTGGAGTCTGCAGGGCTTCCTTGAGCGCCAGTGAGACAGCGCACTACACAGTGTTGTACCTCCACACACGTTTCTGAGCATCTGCCCAGAGCTGGGCGACTGGGTAGCTTCCCACAGCCACCATTCTTACAGCCAGACTCTCTGCAGGACCCGGGGCAGCCTTCCTGCCACATGGCCGGGCTGTCGGATCTTTAACTCCTCCGTGCCTCAGTTTCTCCACCAGCAAAATGCTGGTGATCATTTCGGCCAACCTCATTGTGTTCACCTGTGTGAAAAACAGAACAGAGACTACCTTATCCCAGGCGCAGTTCATGAGCGTTTGGCTGCTGCTATTATTACTTGGATTTTTTCCCAGTACTGAGGGTTGAGTGCTCTCCCACTGAGCTGCATCCCCAGCCCTTTCTTTTTTTTTTTTCTTTCACATTTTGAGACAGGGTCTCATTCAGTCCCCCAGGCTAGGCTAGGCTTAAACATGTGATCCTCCTGCCTCAGCCTCCCAAGAAGCTGGGAGTACAGGAGTGGGCCACCACGCCTGGTCCTGAATGTTTTTTGAGGTTATTTTTTGCTGCACAATGTGGAAAAGGGATTGAGGAGGCCTGGCCTGGCTGTCCCTGGCCGGTCACTCATGCTCTCAGCTCCGGATATTTGAGCCATTGCTTGGCTCCTTCTCTCTGCAGGGCTGTCTGGCCTATCGCATGCCTTGGGGCCACACATGCAGAGCATTTAACTGTCCCCTCCACATGCATCATCCTGAGGTCCCCTCCTCCAACCACAACCCACACTGAGGCTTAGGAAGCGTCACCCAGCAGCCCTGAGCCAGGCCGCTGGTGTGCACAACAGTGCTGGGGACAGATGATGAGAGCTCTCTGCTACGGCAGGAGCCAAGGAGGAGCTCAGGGCTGGGGAGCCAGAGGCCTAGGTGACCACTCACACCCTTCCGAGCCTCCCTGTCCCCATCGGGAGAGCAGAGAGGATGCCTCTTGGGGTGAAGTTTGCTCTTCGGATTAGCAGTAAGGGGCATGACTCTGGACAGGAAATTACCCCCCTGGCACTGCTAGGAGGGGATTAGGGTGTCAGCCTTGGAAGGGGTAAAGAAATGGGTGGGATCACATGTGCTTTCTTTCCATTCAATTAAACATCTCTGGACACACTCACCCTTAGGACTTTCTGAACGCTCGTTTGCTCACACCGGAAGTCCCTTTAGCATGTCCTTCCTCCGACCCCACAGTCCATCCCCGGGTCCTATGGTGCTGTAGGAGTGGGAAAGTCTGCGACTAGCATCATTTTGCAGCCTACAGCCCAAGTCACCTCCGCTGGTCTTATGTGATTCTCCCTCAGAGCATACAGAGGCAGCAGGGGAAGGGGTCTTAGCCCCATATTGCAGGTGAGAAAACTGAGGAGCAAAAGAGATAAACAAATACAGCCAAGGTCACAAAGCTCATCAATTTGGCCAGGATCTGAGCATAGGTTGGATGAGTCCCAGCTGAAGTACTGGGTGAGTTTTTATAATAGGATGTGCATTCCAAATTTAATGAAAAGCACAAGTCTTGGGCTGAGTCATTAGAAGTTTCGGGGCTGCACAGCCATGTGGCTAGTCTCATACAAACATTTCACAAGTCAAGATATGCACATGACTGTAGTTAATAACAAGGTATCATGTTCTTGAAGACTGCTAAGAGTAGATTTAGGCATCCTTAGCTCAAAGAAAATAAGTATGTGAAGTAATGCATGTGTTAAATATCTCCATTTAGCTATTCCACAGTGTACGCGTGTGTTAAAATATCAAGTTGTGTAGCACTGATACACTTTTATTTGCCCATTAAAATTAATAAACATTGAAACAAAAGACATGATTTCCACCAGTCACAGCTTGCTACACACTTGAGGCGGGACTTACTCAAGTGTTGTGTTTCGTTTTTAATTCTTCTCAAATAATAGCTGTTTAAAAGGTCATTGTGGGCAATGGTACATTATTCAGTGGGAAAATGCAAGTGTCAGAATGGCATGCTTAGCATCAGGCTGTTTATATTAGATTGTAAACACATGATTACTCTCAAGGGGAAGGGAGAACAGGAAAGCTTCAAGGATGTTCTTCTTACTCATGTGCTTCTGAACTGAGGCTTCAGTGGAGGTTTTAGGGACTTGAAGGGTCTTTATGGACAGAGAGAGAAGCCCCCAAACCGAGTTCCTGATCATCCTTCCTCAAACCGAACAGCGGCCAAGTAAACTAAATGAGCGAACCCAGCCATGACGGGTTAAAGATGGCGACAGGTTCTTTGCTACTGCTGGTAGGGCCTGTGCCCGCCCCTTGGGTCAGAGAGGCTCTTGCCTGCTTGGACAGCCGAATATAGCAGAAGTGATGATGAAGCGATGATGAGTCTCCAAGCCTTCGGAGACTAATGGCTTCCACTTCTTCTCCCATCGTGGGGCCCAGTGCAGCCAGATCACTGGTCTAACTGGGAGGGCAGGGATCCAGCACAGCCAGCCTCCCCGTTGTCCCCATCAGAGTGCCAGGCACCATGAACCCTCCAGACAGCCCCTCCACCAGCCGAGCCCCGAACACAGGGGAAGGGGACGCTTGCCCAGGGAGCCTGGCCACATCCTAACCCACAGGATCAAGAGACAAAACAGCCACTGTTGACTCACTGATTTTATACGAACTACATCTGTGGGCATTTTGTTAGGCATCAGCAGATACCTGGAAAGCAGCTCTTCATAGGTGCACCCATGGGAGCCAGAAAGAGGATAAACATGGATCCTGGCCCCATGTTTAAGGGACTTGGCACCTACCTGGAAAGAATGGAGATTGTGGAGGATGTGGATTATTTTCTGGCTAGATCATGAACACCTCAAGGGCAGAGACCCAGGTCTGTTTTGTTCCCTTGTATATCTCAAGGGTTTGCAACTCCTCCTGCCACATAGTAAATGCTCAGTCCACACCAGTGGAATCTGTCTCAGGCCCTGAAGATGTGGCTCTGTTATCCTTGGGACCCAGCTGTCCCCTGTCCCCTTCTGTCCCCAGCAGGGACATTTGAACCGAATCAATTGGATGGTAGAGACTTAAATAATTCTAAGACACTCTCACAGATGCAGACACTTAAGAGAGACAGCCTTTTTTCCCCTATAACCATCTTTTAGTTAACTTTATTGAAGTATGATCGACACACCATAACATGCCCCCATTTTAAGTAGACAGTTCAACCTTTTTCAAATATATTTTCAGAGTTGTGCAGCCATTCCCACCATCCCATTATTGAGCATCTGAAGGTTCTCAGTGTTGGTGGCCGAAGGAGAAGATGGCTAATGTCAAAGTCAGCATTAATGTCAAGGTCAGAAATTCAAAAGAGAATTTGGCAATTAGAATGAAAGCATAATGCTACCCCTGGGAAACTAAAAACTTTGTTAACATGAAAAGTTCTACTGAAATAAAGTTATGTGCACTAAGTTGTTCATTTTATAATTTGGTATCACTAAAACCCGAGAAGATTCCAAATCCTGCCAAATGCAGAAATTTTTGCCCAAATGATGCCTCTTCCTTCTCACAGAATATTCTACTATCATTAAAAGAAATAATCATACTATCAAAGTCCATGTAAAGAGTTCTAGTGTAAGGTTGGGAATAAAGCTTCACATAATCTACAGCTAATGCCCAATTTACCATGGTTTGACTTTGGGGTTTTCACTTGTATAAAGGTGCAAACACAATGCACATGCAGTCTAGAGACTGTACTTCGCATTTCAGATTTGGATCTTTTGCCAAGCTAGTGGTCTGCAGTCTGATCCTCTCCCTCAAGGCAGCAGTTACCCCTGTGATCTCCAGGAGAGACATCAAACGCTCTACAAGGCGCTTTATTGCTGAGCTAGGTTGTTTATTAGGTGGGGGATATTACATGCATTTTCCTCCAAGACTTTCAAGGAGGAGTGGGTTTGGTGGGACATAACCAGCAGATGAGCATCTGTCCTGTAACAAGGAAAACAGGATACAAAGTTCAACATGGCATGAGGAGGCAACACGAAAACCTGAAACTAGGTGATAGAGGGTGTAGGATTTTGATTCGTTTGCCCTTGATTTCCATTCATTCATTCAATAGGCTGTCACTGAAGTCTACCACAAGCCTCACACCAAGGGCAGCTGTGGTCACCCACAGAGCTGGCCCCTCGGGCATCCTCCAGACGGTGGCCAACCCCTTTCTCCCTGTCCATGAACCTTCCCTTCCCAGGTAACGGGAAAACATCCATGCTCTGCAGTTACTGAGAGAGCTAAGGACAATAGCTAGCCTGAAAATTAAAGAAAAGAGGTGTCCGATGTAAATGAAAAGAAAAACAAAAAATGGGAGCCAGTCTCACCCCCCACACACATCTGACCCCGGCTGGCGGATACTGTCACCATGCGAGCAATAACTTGAGGTGTGTCAAGTGGCATGTGGTTATTTTAAGCAATGGCAATTTTTGATTTGCCAGTTCATAAATTCCTCCTCTTGTTAGTTAGGTGACAGGCCAACATAGATTTCAAGCCGCTAGGGTCCATGTGCATTGTCTTGGGCCGGGCACAGTGAGAGGAACCAGGGCCACTTTGGTGTACAGAAGAGCAGACGGCATCCCCCAGGCAGTGCCCCTCAGTGCTGTGTTGTCCCTGGTCCCTGACCACCATCACGGACCTGGCCAAAAGCAAGATGGATTGTCAGAGTCCACAGTGGAAACAGAGACCCGAGAAACCCCAGCCATGGCTGAAAAGGGAGCCCTTCATGCCCAGCTGTATTCTCAGGGACATACTACCTCCTCCAACACAACTCCCAGAGATCTGCGTCCTACTTGGTTTGGCAAAGGAAGTCGACAACTTGGATAAGGGACTCCTACGTTCAGAAGGTCCTGGTGCACGTGATCAGAATGACATCCTGGCTGCGCTGAGCTTCCTGGGATTCATTTGATTTTTTGGAAAGTACGTATTGAGACCTAAAATGTTCTTTGTTATTAGGAAATAGGTTTAAAGGCACAAATGTGATCTCTCTGCTGCATTCTCTACTCTGTGGTCCCCCAGCTGACACTGGAGCCTGTACCCAACCCTCTCCAACTCTCTCAAACCCAGCCTTGCCTGACAGCCTGTTAAGGGCTTCCTGCTGGCAGAACCCATGACTTTTCTTCCATCCCCACTGGTCTGAAGCTCCTGTGATGCAGAAAATAAGTGCTCAGCAAAACCCACATCCGTTTGCTGAGCAGTGGGTGACACTGGAAGCAAGTGGGTTCCCGAGACCCAGTCTCCTCTGCTGAGGGAGGCAGGGGGCAGCAGCCTGGCTTGGGGACCTTGTGGCAAGCCCCACCCATGCTCAAAAGCAAAGCTGCATGATGAGGAGACGGTGGCGCTTCCATCTCCATGCCCTCAGCCTGGTTATCTCCACTCACTGAGCTCATCCCACGCATCCTTTAAGTGGAAAGCCACCCTGTGCTCCTCTACCCTGTGAATTCAGCATTTGGGCATTCAGGGCTGGGCGAGGCTGGGTGAGTCCATGGGGAAGACCAACACTGCCTTAGGGACACACCTGGGAACCTTGTCTTAGGGCTTTGTCCAGACTGATGACTGGGCCATCCCGGGGACGTCGTGCAGGGCTGAACCCAAGAGCGGAAGAAGCCCCAGAAGGAAGACTAGGACTTCCCATTGCTGCTGCAGTGGACAAAACCGGACGAGAGCCATGAGGGCTCCAAATAGGGTGCAAAAGAAGACGAACCTGGGAAGCCTTGAGACCATTTTCAGAAGAGGTGGTTTCTTGGTGTGCGGGAGAATTCCCCAAGAAAGGGAAACGATCTGCAGGCTGAGCCTACCCGGTTCTGTCACTCTTGGGGTGCTTCTCATCCTGTCAGTGGCTGTACGCACCCCACTGCCTGGAACTGCTTACCATACAGGCACTGTCCATACAGCAACTGCGAGAAACTACCTCTTTCCACAAAGTGCATGGGCCAGAAACTGGGCGTTCAACCTGTCCACAAATGGAAGTGTTCCAAAGTGCTCAAGCTCAGATGTGCAAACACAGCCGCCTTGATCAGAGCCACAGGCCAGGCCCTGCACAACTAGAAACACACTTGGTGATTCCAGTGCTGTGCAAAAAGATTGCACTTGATTTTGTCTAGAACTGTTCTCAACTTGCTGGGTAGTGAGGGTAGAATTAGATTTAAAGTAAACTATTTTCAAAGTAAACATAAGCCTATGAGTTAAGTAGATCCTAGAGGTGTCATTCCACTAAATATTCATTTCCTATTTCTGTGGTCCTCCTCTCTGCATCCAGGGACAAGAAGCGGCCTTGGGCTGGCCTTTGGCAGGTGGGTCCCCTGAGAACACGTTGTGAGCCTGTCCCTGGAGTCTTGCCAGACTTGCTTCTGAGGGCTGAGCTGAGGAA